GATACTCCCATGGAAAACTGGTTTAACCCTCCATCTTTTGCCTATTGATACCAATTAATTTGTGAACTACAATTGATGGCTTTCCATCCTTATGTGGTGGGTGGTAGCCGCCACTCTCCGCCTCCACCTCTGCTCTCTCCATCCCCCCCCGCACCATGGAGCAGTGATAGTGGGTCTGCCAGCATGTCTCCCTTCCCCCCAACTCACCCCCCCTTCTGTCAGTACACAGGAGTCACTGTGTCTCCCGCCCACCCCCTCCTCTTATCATCCTGTCACACAGCAGGGACCAACGGCAAGACAGAGAGACAGAGCACAGCTGCAGGCTCCCCCCCCCCTTTCCTCATGGCGAGGAGAACTGCCCTTCTCACTGCCTGCTCTATTTCCCTTGTCCCCTTCCCTCCCATTGGCTGCAGCAGTGGGACCAACCGAGCAGGAGGACAAGAGGACTATGGGACATGTAGTTCCAGGTGACAAGTGGTCCCATTCTATCTAAAAGGAGCAAACTACAGCCCCACAAGGCCTAGGGGCAGAGGATGGGGAAAAGAACAAAGAGAGGGCACACAGGCCTAGTGTCGTATTACCATAAAATTTGTTTAATAAAAAATAAAGTAGGTGTTGTACTCACAAACGACAATATAGTCAAGGCACATCATAAAAGAACAGCTGGGTCAACACCGCGCTGAGTAACAGTCCGCAATAGGGAGTTTAGACATCCAAAAGGCTGACGCGTTTCGAGGACTTGTCTCTTCCTCAGAGCCAACTGACCAAATGTCTGCTCCCTTTTTTATATGCTCACTACTAGTTAAACCAAAGGTCACATGGGCCATCCTGGACACTCCCCTGTGCAGGTGGAGGAGTCACAGGGGCAATCGACATAGTGTAAGTAAACACGAAAGGTCTATAAAAAATATATACACACATATATATATACACATACATATATACATACACATATATATAGTATATATATACATACGTGTACAAATAAAAACCATTGAAACTAGTGACAATCATAAAAATCATATGAACCATAAGAAGTGTGCATAGTGAAAAATAAATAAAATGGAAAGTTACACATATATATATATATATATATATATATATATATATATATATAAATATAAAAATTAAATAAAAATCCTTCCCTGGTGTTGCACTGCACTGCTCGCCTTAAAATAAATGGATGGATGGATGAGCAACGCTACACAAGCTGCCTAGTGCTCTGCTTGCCATAGACAACCATGGGGCATGGATTTAATATAGAGAGTAGATCTGAAACCCAGCAGAGACACTTATTAATTCATAGAGATGCAGCCTACAGGTGTGTGCAGGATGAGAAAGCAGTGCTCGAAGACAGCTCACTGGACAACATGCGTGCGCACATGTGTGTGTAACACGTCCACATGAGCAACTGCTTTTTAGTAAAAAAACATGTGCAAGTAGGAATTGCCTGCGCTAGGCTTAAAATGCGTTTTAGAGCAGATGTTGCCATCAGAGTCAGTCCGTAGTTCAAGATCTGGAATACCAGACTGTTGGCATCCACCACATGTGTGAAGCCGATTCCAAAGGGTTATTTTTGGCAGTGTGCAAGAAACCCATCCAGATCCTCGACTGACCCTTGCCAGATGATTAAGATATCGTCTATATATCTGGCGTACATGGCCAGATTGCCCCCGATATGGGTTGTTGTTCCATATTGATTCCTCCTCCCAATACCCCGTGAAGAGGTTTGCATAGCTAGGGGCAAATCTAGCTCCCATAGCCGTGCCTCTAATTTGTCTGTAGAAGTTCCCTTGAAAGGAGAAGTAATTATGTGTGAATTTGGGCGGGTACAATACGATGGCTTTTTGTATGAAAACTACTTGAATGGGAGTTATGTCACTATTGTCCAAAAAGTGTTTGATGGCAAACATGCCATATTGATGTGTTCGATGGATGTGTAAAAGCGAAGTGACATCCAAGGATAACCATTTATATTCTGGACACCATTTCGAGGAAGATAGGATCTCCAACATATGCCCAGAGTCTCGACGTAGGATGGTAGACTCACGACTAGTTCTTGGAGGAAATGATCAATGTAGCATCCCAAATTGCTGGAGATGCTATCAATGCCAGCTATGATGGGTCTACCAGGGGGATGAATGATAAGCACACACCCTGTAGGCTGCATCTCTATGAATTAATAAGTGTCTCTGCTGGGTTTTCAGATCTACTCTCTATATTAAATCCATGTCCCATGGTTGTCTATGGCAAGCAGAGCACTAGGCAGCTTTGTAGCGTTGCTCATCCATCCATCCATTTATTTAAAGGCGAGCAGTTGCAGTGCATCACCAGGGAAGGATTTTATATTTAATTTTTTTTATATATATGTGTAACTTTCCATTTATTTATTTTTCACTATGCACACTGTCTTATGGTTCATATGATTTTATGATTGTCACTAGTTTCAATGGTTTTTTATTTGTACCGTATGTATATATATATATATATATATGTGTGTATGTATAATATGTATGTGTATATATATGTGTGTATAATATTTTTATAGACCTTTCGTGTTTACTTACACTATGTCGATTGCCCCTGTGACTCCTCCACCAGCACAGGGAGTGTCCAGGATGGCCCATGTGACCTTTGGTTTAACTATAAGTGAGCATATAAAAGAGGGAAGCAGACATTTTGGTCAGCCTTGGCTCTGAGAGGAAGAGGCAAGTCCCTCGAAACGCACGTCAGCCTTTTGGATGTCTAAACTCCCTATTGCGGACTGTTACTTAGCGCGGTGTTGACCCAGCTGTTCTTTTATATGTGCCTTGACTATATTGTCGTTTGTGAGTACAACACCTACTTTATTTTTTATTAAACATTTTTATGGTAATGCACAGGCCTGTGCGCCCTCTCATTGTTCTCCTTTTCCCCATTCAGTAATATTTTGGGATTCCCCCGGTCCATTTGAGGGGCAGCAAAGGTGTGCATGTTCCAGGACATTCTTCTAATGTGGTTGTAGCCTGCATTGAGTCTCTGTCAGGAATGGACTGGCCAGCAAATGGTGGACTCACCTGCCTTTTGATCTGCAGTACCAGGGCAGTGCCAGCGGGTGTTCCCCAGCAATCAGAGACTCAACCTTTCAGCCAGCTAACACCTGGAACTGATGATACTGGTGTATTTAAGGGATGGCCAGACTTGCAGACTTCTGCCTTGGTGTTGTGTTTTTGTCCTGGGCCCCTGTATCTGTCCCTGCATCCTGTTTCTGTTTCCTTTGCTGACCCTGCCTGATCTGAACCGCTGCAGACTTCTCCTGCTCTGATCCCGGCTCGCTCCTGACCATCCCTCTGCCTGAACCCTCTGTACCACGCTACGCTGCTTGCTACCTGTTCTGATCCCTGGCTTGTGACCCCGACCATCCCTCTGCCTGACCCTCTGTACTACGCTGCTAGCTACCTGCTGAACCTGGCCTGTGACCCCGACCCATTTCCGCTTGCTCCCCCTGTACCTACCTGCCCTATTGATATTGACCCGCCTGCCTGACGACGCTTGCTTGTATGTACTGTTATCTGTGGGTGGTTGGTTTGGTTTTGTATTTGCACTGTATTATGTTTTTAGTATTGCACTGCGTTTATGTTTGTATGGTTAGTGTTAATAAATTATATTGTATTTATCACATATCTGAAGTCTGCGTTTCCCTGCGTCAGTCACACACTTCTGGGTTACACCTGGGAGCCCTGACATTACACCAAGGCCAATCCTGACCAGAAGTGGCTGCACAGGAAGCCATCTTGGCTTGTTGCTGGGAAGGATGGATCTGGATGAGGTTGAGTATTTTATCTCTGCTAGTGTTTGATGACAGAAAATATGCTTATCAGACTCTGAAGGAGTATCCCCGGGATGAACTACTAGAGTGTATACGGCTCGCGTCATGTTCTAGTAGATCAGGGCACAGATTTCTCTATGATGCAGCCATTGATTAAGGTTTGTGCTGAGTTGGTCTTCATCTGGTTTCCCCCGAATGCAGGGATGAATTTTGCCACCATTTAGTGCACCAGGTAGAGTCCCTGGTTGTGGTTATTAGAGGATGATGTGGGTTACTTTCTGGAGCGTTATTCCACATGTTCACCACAGATACTAAGAGATTGTATACAACGCAGTGCAGTCTTTGGTCAGGACAGGCTTTGTGTAAGCTCAGCTTTGTTCAACCCATACTGCAGACATGGACAGATTTGTTACACCCAGCCTCAGTCAGCTTACAAAGACCCAGTCCTGCTTCTAATCTATTTTCCTCAAAAGCTCTACTCCTGTATTCCCAACAACTCCCCCAGTTACAGCCCAGTATACTTGGCTATCTACCGCATGTCAGTACCCTGTTCCCACTCTCTGCACCTATCCTGCCTTTAACCCTGTAAAAAAAGCCCTCTGTAGCAAACTGCTTCCCTCTCCCTGTTCCATCCTCCAGTTCTTCTCTGTCTCTAGCTGCTCCATTAGGTTTGCAGACCTGCGTTTACTTGCAGTGCTCCAGTAGTTAAAACCCAGAAAAAAGCAAAATTCTTTCCAACCAATACCATCCTGCCAGTATCCAAAACCGGTGAACCTGCCTTCCGAGGTTCAGCCTGAATCCTCTACTCAGCCTGAAGCCTCTACTCAGCCTGATGCCTGTACTCAGCCTGATGCCTGTACTCAGCCCTGATGCCTGTACGCAGCCTGATGCCTCTCTTCTGCCTGAAGCCTCAATACTCGGCCTGAAGCCTCTACTCGGCCTGATGCCTCTACTCGGCCTGAAGCCTCTACTCGGCCTGATGCCTCTACTCGGCCTGGAGCCTCTACTCGGCCTGGAGCCTCTACTCGGCCTGAAGCCTCTACTCAGGGGCCTGAAGCCTCTACTCAGCCTGAAGCCTCTACTCAGCCTGAAGCCTCTACTCACCTGAAGCCTCTACTCAACCGTACGCCGGCATTCAGCCTGATGCCTCTACTCAGCATGATGAACTGATCCAGCCTGACGATCCTATTAGGCCAGTTGACTCGATGCCCGCTGTTGATCCAGATGATCCGGTACCTGATCCGGTGCCCGCTATCGTGCCAATTGACTCAGAGCCCGCTGTCGTACCTGTGTGACTCGGTGCCCACTGCCTTGCCAGATGACGCGGTGCCCGCTGGCGAGCCAAATGACCTGATGCCTGGTGACCCAGGGCCCGCTGTCATACCTGGTGACCCGATGCCCGCTGTCGAGCCAGGCGATCCAATGCCTGGTGACCCGGTGCCCACTGTCGTGCCTGTTTGACTCGGAGCCCCACTGCCTTGCCAGATGACGCGGTGCCCGCTGTCGAGCCAAAATGACCTGATGCCTGGTGACCCGATGCCCGCTGTCCTGTCAGACGATCCAATGTCTGACCCAGTGCCCGCGGTCATAACCAGTTGACTCGGAGCCCACTGCCTTGCCAGATGACGCGGTGCCCCGCTGTCGAGCCAAATGACCTGGTGACCCGATGCCCGCTGTCCAGCCAGACGATCCACTGTTTGACCCAGTGCCAGCGGTCATGCCAGTTGACCTCGGAGCCCACTGTCGTGCCTGGTGACTCGGTGCCCGCCGCTTCGCCTGGGGGGCCGAGACCTGTTGCTGGCTCCGCCTGGGGGTCCGGCGCCCGCCGCTCCGCCTGGGGTCCAGCGTTCGCCGCTCCGCCTGGGGGGCCCGAGAGACCTGTCGCTCCGCCTGGGGGTCCAGCGCCCGCCGCTCCGCCTGAGGGCCCGAGACCTGTCGCTCCGCCTGGGGGTCCGGCGCCTGCCGCTCCGCCTGAGGGCCCGAGACCTGTCGCTCCACCTGGGGGTCCGGCGCCCGCCGCTCCGCCTGAGGGCCCGAGACCTGTCCGCCCCACCTGGGGGTCCGGCGCCCGCCGCTCCGCCTGAGGGCCCGAGGCCTGTCGCTCCACCTGGGGTCCGGCGCCCGCCGCTCCGCCTGAGGGCCCGATACCTGTCGCTCCATCTGGGGGTCCGGCGCCCGCCGCTCCGCCTGGGGGCCCGATGCCTGTCGCCCCGCCTGGGGGTCCGGCGCCCGCTGCGCCCCGCCTGGGGGCCCGATGCCTGTCGCCCCGCCTGGGGCCCGATGCCTGTCGCCCCGCCTGGGGGCCCGATTGCCTGTCGCCCCGCCTGGGGCCCGATGCCGGTTGCCCCGCCTGGGGGCCCGCGGCGCCCGCCGCTCCGCCTGGGGGCCCGGCGCCCGGCGCTCCGCCTGGGGGCCCGGCGCCCGCCCGCTCTGCCTGGGGGCCCGATGCCCGTCGCCCCGCCTGTGGGGGCCCGATGCCTGTCGCCCCGCCCGGGGGCCCGGTGCTTGCCGCCCTGCCTGGTGGCCCGCTGCCTGCTGCTTCGCCTGGTAATCCGATGTGCCTCTGCCCGGAGTCCTGCCCGATGTGCCTCTGCCCGGAGTCCTGCCCGATGTTGCCTCTGCCCGGAGTCCTGCCCGATGTGCCTCTGCCCGGAGTCCTGCCCGATGTGCCCTGCCCGGAGTCCAGCCCGATGTGCCTCTGCCCGGAGTTTAGCCCGATGTGCCTCTGCCCGGTGTGCCTCTGCCCGATGTGCCTCTGCCCGGAGTCCAGCCCGATGTGCCTCTGCCCGGGTCCAGCCCGATGTGCCTCTGCCCGGAGTCCAGCCCGATGTGCCTCTGCCCGGAGTCCAGCCCGGTGTGCCGCTGCCCGGAAGTCCTGCCTGGTGTGCCAGTCTTTGATATCCCGCCAGTTACCAGACCCCGGGCGAACATTTTGCCCAGCTAGGACTGTTTGGAGCGTCCTGAGGCCGCTCCTTGAGGGGGGGGTACTGTCAGGAATGGACTGGCCAGCAATGGTGGGGACTCACCTGCCTTTTGATCTGCAGTACCAGTGGCTGGCCAGCGGGTGCTCCCAGCAATCAGAGACTCAACCTTTCAGCCAGCTAACACCTGGAACTGATGATACTGGTGTATTTAAGGGATGGCCAGACTTGCAGACTCTGCCTTGGTGTTGTGTTTGTCCTGGGCCCTGTATCTGTCCTGCATCCTGTTTCTGTTCCTTTGCTGACCCTGCCTGATCTGAACCGCTGCTGACTTCTCCTGCTCTGATCCCGGCTCGCTCCTGACCATCCCTCTGCCTGACCCTCTGTACCACGCTGCTTGCTACCTGTTCTGATCCCTGGCTTGTGACCCTGACCATCCCTCTGCCTGACCCTCTGTACTACGCTGCTAGCTACCTGCTGAACCTGGCCTGTGACCCCGACCCATCTCCGCTTGCTCCCCCTGTACCTACCTGCCCTATTGATATTGACCCGGCCTGCCTGACGACGCTTGCTTGTATGTACTGAATGGGAATATCCTCCTGCGCTTAATATGGATAAGTCCCTATCCTAACAGCTGCTATCACTTTGCCTTAACCAATAAGTATTAAAGTATCAAACACAAAAATAGTGAAGCGCTAAAGTGAATCCCTATATACACACACAGTGCATATAACATTAGACGAAAAACATACCTCATAAATAAAATAAATCTGTGGTATAAAATAATAAATAAATCAATTAAAAAATCAAAAAAAAAAATATAGAAAAAATATAGAGAAAAAATCTTTCCTTGCCCTTAAATGTTTCTTCAAATCAATCAGTGATAAAAAATAGAAAATCCATAATAATGCGAATAAACAGTGATACAAAAATAAAATCTGTGTTAATTAATATTCAAAAAAGAATATATATATATATATATATATATAATATATATAAGTGATAATTCCAATGATATATGTGACAACCTAACAGAATATAAATAAAAATTCATAAATTGTGATTCTCAATCAAATAAACGTGATTAATATTAATTGTGAAAAAACCAAACATTAAACTATTAAATAAATGATCCACTAAATCTTGTGATGTTTAAATATGAAAATGTGTCCACAAATGAACAAAAAACAGTCCATGCAATAAGGTGAAAACGACACTCAGTGTTCTTCACTTCTAGTGCTCAAAACAGAAGAAATCCTCCAATGGCAGCAATGCCTGCTCACCTCCCCAACTCGACCCGCAAAGGGCCACAAGGCTATAACTCTCCTCCAGGTAATCCTTTGCTCCTTACTGAGCTGCTTGGAAGCAAAGGATTACCTGGAGGAGAGTTATAGCCTTGTGGCCCTTTGCGGGTCGAGTTGGGGAGGTGAGCAGGCATTGCTGCCATTGGAGGATTTCTTCTGTTTTGAGCACTAGAAGTGAAGAACACTGAGTGTCGTTTTCACCTTATTGCATGGACTGTTTTTGTTCATTTGTGGACACATTTTTCATATTTAAACATCACAAGATTTAGTGGATCATTTATTTAATAGTTTAATGTTTGTTTTTTTCACAATTAATATTAATCACGTTTTATTTGATTGAGAATCACAATTTATGAATTTTTATTTATATTCTGTTAGGTTGTCACATATATCATTGGAATTATCACTTATATATATATATTCTTTTTTGAATATTAATTAACACAGATTTTATTTTTGTATCACTGTTTATTCGCATTATTATGGATTTTCTATTTTTTATCACTGATTGATTTGAAGAAACATTTAAGGGCAAGGAAAGATTTTTTCTCTATATTTTTTCTATATTTTTTTGATTTTTTTATTGATTTATTTATTATTTTATACCACGGATTTATTTTATTTATGAGGTATGTTTTTCGTCTAATGTTATATGCACTGTGTGTGTATATAGGGATTCACTTTTGCTTGTATGTACTGTTATCTGTGGGTGGTTGGTTTGGTTTGTTTGCACTGTATTATGTTTTAGTATTGCACTGCGTTTATGTTTGTATGGTTATTGTTAATAAATTATATTGTTTATCACATATCTGAAGTCTGCGTTTCCCTGCGTCAGTCACACACCTCTGGTCACACCTGGGAGCCCTGACAGAGTCCATCCCCAAGCGCAGGAGCATTTGTGTTTGCTGGTTCTAGGGGCAGAGGAGCCTGGGGCCCGGAAGAAAAAGGGACAGTGCTGCTAGAGATGGAAAGAAGCGAGGACTGTGCTGTGGGACACCATTTGGGGAAAAACCACACAGTGTGGATGGGACGTGGGATCCACAGTTTCAGGAGCAAGAGGCTATTCCCCCCCTTGCCTGTTTGTGTGCGGGCATCGCTGCATGGACAGAGCAGAGACCCTTCCCACCACCAAACTCCATCACAAGAGACAGATCCACAGCCACCGGCACCTTATCAGCACTGTTGCTACTCGGAACTACCTCTAGATATGCCCATGTAGACGTCGCTGAGTCTCTAGGTCATCAGGTTGCCATTCGGGCACCTTCATCTGGTTGCAGACCTTCATGAACCTGTCCAAAAACATACTTCCTCTGAGGGCCTTGGTATCTACGGGATCAGTGAGCGGGCATCAGGGCTTAGAGGGAGGTGATTGATGAAAGGTCTTTTCTCCCCCCTCTTGCTTCTAGGGTCATAGGTCCACCTAGGGTCTATTGGCCCTACAGCCCAGTTCAATTATTGCACATATTTGTGACTCCGTTTACTGTTAAACCCTACAATTTGGGGCAAATCCACAATTTAAATTTCTGTGACATGTTGACTTTATTATCTCTAGTGAAATGTTATCCTGCAAAGCTATTCCTATTGGCATCTTTAGCACTTGTGTTCGCACTGTTCTTATTCAACCAGGTGTGTCAGAGGTAGAAAGGTTGTTCTTGGAGTTGGGGACAAAACAAGGAACCCAAATTATTAAGTGGCTCCTTCGGGGGGTGGCACTACACTTATTTGGCATATCCTTCCATCTGAGAGTGTCAGAGATTACAACTTGCGACTATAACCATAGGGCCATTTTTTTCCACAGTTTGATACCTTGAGAGCCTATCTCTCTGGGATAGACTCAGGCTGTATCAATATCCATGCTGCCATCTGCATAACTCCACACCTATCATTCAGAAGCTTCTAAAGTTTCTTGGATACAGACAAAGCTACAGGCAGACTAGCAGCAGCTGAGCACACAGAGCCGACCTAACTAAATGAACACAGCTCAAGTACAGTGAGCTAACTATGCTTTTAACTAACAAAAAGCTACAGCTTCTCCGACTACTGAGTGACAACTAAATGTACCTATGAAACACAAACTAACTCTATCTAACCTTAGCACCTACTGTATCTAGCAGGGTTCTCTCTCTCTCTCTCTCTCTCTCTCTATACATATATATATTTATGTGCATGTATGTATGTGTGTATGTGTAATATATATATATATAGACTATATTGCCAAAAGTATTGGGACACCCTCCCAAATCATTGGATCACCTCCATCGCCACAGGTATATAAAATCAAGCACCTAGGCATGCAGACTGCTTCTACAAACATTTGTGAAATAATAGATCACTCTCAGGAGCTCAATGAATTCAAGCGTGGTACCGTGATAGGTTGCCACCTGTGCTATAAGTTAATCTGTAAAATTTCCTTACTACTAAATATTCCACAGTCAACTGTTAGTGGTGCTATAACAAAGTGGAAGCAACTGGGAGCAACAGCAACTCCAGGCCACGTAAAATGACAGAGTGGAGTCAGTGCATGCTGAAGTGCACAGTGCGCAGAAGTCACCAACTGTCTGC